GCCCCGGGGCTCAACGGGCTCTCTTCCCGAATCATCAGACAGGCGTGGAACTCGGCGGAAGCTGAATTCCACTTTGTCTATGCGCGGTGCGTAGAAGCCGGCATTTTTCCCGGCATATGGAAGGAAGGTCGGCTGCTTGTCCTGCCTAAGGGTAACGACAAGCCGCTGACCGACCCGAAGGCGTACCGTCCGATCACGCTCCTCTCGGTTTTTGGAAAGATTTTGGAACGCGTAATACTGAAAAGCGCTCCGATGATCAGTTCTCGGATCTCCGACTGTCAGCACGGATTCTCTCCCGGCAGGTCCACCACCTCCGCGCTTAGGGCTATCTTAGACTCGCGGCACGACCCATGGAAGTATGTTCAGGTCATCTTCCTCGACATCTCGGGTGCCTTCGACAACGCCTGGTGGCCGGTGATTCTGGTAAAGGCGAATCTGGGTGGGTGCCCGCCCAACATCTTCAGGATGCTGGCGAGTTACTTCGCTGGCCGCCGCGTGTGCCTCATCACCGGTGACCGGGTGCTGTGGAAGGAATGCACCATGGGATGTCCACAAGTTTCGGTATTGGGTCCCACGCTATGGAACCTACTGATGGATGACCTGCTTCGTCTCCCGTTACCTGCAGGAGTAAGGATGGTTGCGTACGCGGACGATGTTACGGTCCTGATCGGAGCCGACTCTCGAGCGAGCATCGAGAGCAAGGCGAAAGCCACGCTCTCGCTCGTCCTCGATTGGGGTGCCCGTAATCGGCTGGAATTCTCCCCAGGCAAGTCCATGACGATGACCGTAAAGGGAAAGCTCCAGCGGCCCCCAGTCATCAGGATGGGTGGCGACTCGGTCCGGACCGTCACGGCGGCAACCATCCTTGGAGTGACGCTAGACGACAGGATGTCCTTCGTGCAGCATGCGACAACGATTGGAGAGCGAGCGGCCAAATGCTTCGGGAAGATGTCGAGAGTATCGGCATCTTCCTGGGGCATTCGTTATCCGGCCCTCCGCACTCTCTACAAGGGCACTTACGTAGCCACGTTGACGTATGCTGCACCCGTATGGCATGAGAGAATCAGTCTCCATGTCGTACGTAGTATAGTCCTGAGGCTGCAGCGACCGTCTCTCATCCTCCTTACGAAAGCGTACAGGAGCGTGAGTACGGCGGCGCTACCAGTACTGGGGGGGTCTTGCCTGCGGACCTGGAGGTAATCCGTGCTGCCAGAATGGATGAGGAGCGCGAGTCCGCGCCAAAGCCAGAGTTGAGCAGACGAAAACGCGGGGTATGGGACGCTATTGTCGGGGAATGGCAGGAGCGATGGCACTCCTCCGCGGATGGAAGAGAGCTCTACCGATACTTTCCGGATGTGGCTATAAGGTTGGCGTCTTCGTGGGTTGAACCCGATTACGAGACGTCACAGATCCTGATTGGACACGGCTGTTTCGGTAAGCGACTGCACGCTATGAGACTCTACGAGTCGAGCGGCTGCGGTTGCGGGGAGTCGGAAGAGGACCTCTACCACGTTGATGGGAGTGCTCGCTGTATTCCGATCTCAGGGGGAAGCTGCTGGAGGGGATACGTCGCGGTGAAGGCGAAGGAGAGGGTCCGGTGTACTACTGTGGAGGGTACGGTGGACTTGGTGTCTACTGAGGAGAATTTTAGGAGACTGCGGGAGTTCGAGCATCAGTGGCACCGGAGGCGGAGCGAGTACGAGAGGACTGCTGGTGGTACGCGTTCAAGAAGGAAGGACACCGCTGAAGACGGAGAGCTGCCCGGCACCGAAGCCGTCTATGTTTCGTCCGCTGCCCCAGAAAGGGGAGAGTACGACAGAGGGGACAGGAGTAGAAATAATTTGTAGGGGTCAAGAGAATGCGTGCTTTTCAGCGCGCATTCCCCGCAGATTCGGCCAGTATAACCGAGAGGTTGGAATGGCCATGGGTTGGTGGAGGGTTGTCCCTATCTGCCGGAGGAAATCGCCGCTGCTATAGCGCGCGACGGGGAATGCAGCGCGGAGGATGTACGTGTAGGGGAAATCCGCCGAAGCAGTCCCTCTAGCCTAGGGTCATGTTGGGTCCGCGGCCCAGTGATGGGGGTCAAGAAAGTCACCACCAAAGGGCACATCCGCCTCGGGTGGGTGACAGCGAAGGCGGAGCTGCTGCGGCAAAGGCCGTTGCGGTGTTTCCGGTGCCTGCAGAGCGGGCATGTGAGAGGTCAGTGCACCCAAAAGGAGGACCGCAGCGGTCTTTGTTACCGGTGCGGTGAAAACGGGCACAAAGCCGCAGTGTGCACCGCCGCCCCTAGATGTGCTGTCTGCGCATCACAGGGCCGGCCGGCAGACCACTGGGTGGGGGCAAAAATTGCACCCCGCCCAAGAGGAAGGATGGAGGCGGCCAGCCACTCAGGCATCAGGCCGTAGCAGCGGACCACAGGAGGGGATGGACAACAGCTCCTAGCGATCAAGGAGGCATGGGCGGCCCAAGTCGCCCCTAGATCGCTACCGGGCCGGGGTGACGACCGCGGGGGCGGTCCCACCCCTCCACACTAGGCCCGAAGAAGTCGCGCGCATGTCCCCGCGCACCTTCCCCAGGGAAGACGGGGGAAGTGGTGAGTTTCGGTAGGGAACCCGCAGAGATGGGGCCCGCTACTAGGTGAGCCACCGCCGTCGGAGTTGCGGTCGACTATAATTTGATCCCGCGACTCCAGCACATGGCGTTGGATGAGGGACATCTTGGAGTTTTTAGTGAGTAGGAGTCTCACAGTACCCGCGGGCTTCCCCCGGGGCCGGCGGGTCTCCATGACGGATTTTCTCCAAGTAAAAAAGGGTTGTACCCCAGTGACCCCCCTACATCGCTACACTGCATACATTTAATTAAAAGCTAATCGAGTGGGGTTTTATTAATACTTACATTTTTAAATATGAATGTCCAAATTGAATAATTCGAAAAGTTATGTAAAAATATTGAACCAGTAGTGAATATGAAGTTAAAGTGAAGTGAAGTTAAAGGATTAATAGCAAGATACAAATAAAAGGCTTATTCTAGCGGCGGCATTTCAATTAAAAGTATAAATTAAACACACTTATTATGACATAACTATAAGACATGCTGTCGCGGCACTTTTGCAGATAATGATGTGTTCAATAAAGTCGTGGTACATCATTTTATTCTATCATCAATACTTTTTGCAGCGCACGAGTGTTAGGTATTTTTTGTGTAGTTTTTTTATACTTTGGGTACTAACTCCAATAATGTATATTGGAGTTAGTAAGGATCTATAATTTTTTTGGAAATATAATATAGCCTATGTCACTCAGGGATAGTGTAGCTTCCTAATGGTGATAGGGTTTTTCAAATCGGTCCAGTAGTTTCGAAGCCTATTCAATACAAACATACATACTCGTACATACACACAAAAATACAAATATTTCCTCTTTACAATATTAGTATAGATATAGATTGTATGTCAATAAGGTCGAATGCTCTGAAAGCCTATTCGCATCAACAGCCAAATATTGTATGAAGCTCGTGCTTTTTTTTTCGGACTATTCTAATGCTGTTGGCCGCAACTAGCCTTTACAGCTTCACCGGACGATAGGGGGCGAATTCAGATGGCACTCCAAACCCGCGGAAGGACTTACAGAGCGGCTGAAGGCCAACTCCCGCCTGATGGATACGACTTTAGTCTGAGGGCACCACTAGGAGTTCGAACCTCGGCTCAGGCCGTCGTAATTTCGATCCCCGTTTGAATTGGACGGGGGATTGATCGGAGGGGCGCCCGGGGGCGCTGGTGTGGAGCGCCCGGGCGCACGCATGCACTCGGTTGAATGCGCGATATTGTGTGTTTGAGGTCGTCGTCTTCGCCGGCGAGGACGGTGTCGTGATTGTGGGTAAAAATGTGGTCGGGACAGAACGGGTGGACCCGTGGGGAGATTGACTGCCGCTATGGGGTGGTCGGGATCTATGAGAACGTACCTCGGATGACGTTGTCGCGTATGTCGGATATTACTCCTCGGTGCGTTGACCGCATTGACTACAAGCGGGTTAGGGTGGGATTGGGCAGAGTCGAAGTAGCGTCGAGACGCTACCTTCATAAACTGCTTGATGGAGGGCAGATTGAGGTCGCGGTGGAGATTTACGCTACGAACGAACCACGGCGCACCAGTGGCTCGACGCAGAAACCTATTCTGTATAATCTGTAATCTATTATTTAGGTGGTAGGGCGAATACGGGACTGGCGTATGTCATGATGGGACGGATGCAAGCCTTGTATAATGTCAGCTTTTTGCGAAGCGACATTTTACTGTGCTTGTTAATAAAAGGATAGAGATGCCCTAGTATAAAGGCGGCTCGGTCGCGAACACGCTTGATAAGAGGACGAAACGTTAGTTTCCTATCCAGGGTGACGCTGAGGTATTTCGTTTTCGAAACCCACGGGATACTTTGGCCGAATAGTTCGATCGGGTGATTCTTAGGGTCGAATTCCCTGTAGAAGTACACTGCTGGACTTTTTTTCGGGATTGACTTCTATGCGCCACCGATGGAACCATTCGCCCAGTATGGTTACGGCTTTCTGAAGCGGTCTAGCTATTGTCGTATGGGACTTGGCGGATGTAAAGAAAGCCGTGTAAAAAGTCGCTTTCCAGTTTGTTGCTTGCTGAGTTTACCGTTGGTCGTGTGATCCTCTGTGAGACTCCGGTTCGCCGTCGAGTCTCCAGAGTGAGCCCCGCAACTGGTGCCCACTTGCGCAAATTGTTGAGAGCGATACAGTGCGTAATCCAGCTACTCAAAGTGTACTTTGTCTAGCGAGAGAACGCGCTAGGATTGTAGACCGAATTTGTTGACGCAAATTCGTTGCTGCAATCCACTTGCGACTGTCTTACAGTGCGATCACCTGCCCTTTCAGGGCGGAATTCCCTACTTTTCGGTAGGTTCGTCGTGGGGTTCCAGCCCCCACACCACCCTCTTCCACCCCTCCAGTCCCCTTTCCTAGTACATCACCCTTTCGTGTCGTGATGTCGCAAAGGGGCAAAGCCCCCAGGAAACCTCCTGACAGGGGAGCTCCCCGAACTGTTGTGCGTCGGGATCTGAGGAACCCGACCAAGCTGGTCCCCGCCACTGAGCTGGGGACCTTCCACGCTCGCCCGGCATCCAAGGGCACCCCCTCTGCCCTCGCGGGAAGCGGCAATGATGCCGCCGACCGGGAACCAGGCAGAGGGGAAAGATGCGCACAACCCGGCCCATCTAAGAGACGCGCACCGCCGTCGCCGACCTCGCCCGCTAGAGGCGACAAACGGAGGGACGTAGAGGAGTCCCCCCCCCGCGACCTGGACCTAGTGAAGGCGCCGCCGACGCCGAGAATCCGGCTTGTGGACAAGGGCTACCAACCCCTACCGTCCCAGTCGGGTACCGTGCGGCGAAAGCCCTCACCCCCTCCGCGCTCACCCTCCCCCCCGCCGGATAGCGGGAGCGAGGAGGGAGGGGAAGACAGGCGTTTTTACGGTGACGCATGCTCGTCGCCGTCACCAGCGTCGTCGCCCGAGACATCGCGAGCACCCTCGCCACTACCCCGTTCCTACACATTGGATAGGGGTGGATATGACGTCACATCTTATGCGGCACTCGAGGCGGTTTCACTATCGCCCGAACCGATGCTCCCCCCCGTCCCCTCGCCTAGAAAGAGAACCCCGCCGTCATTCGCGGCAGTAGCGGCGGGTCCCGCCACCTCGGGCCCCGCCACCCCAGCCCCTGCCACCTCGGGTGCCCCGGCACTCGCTCCGCCCCTCCCCTCTCAGACGAGGAACGCCGACGCAGGCGCTGAACCCGCCACAGGGCGAGGAAAATACCCCCCCATAGTGGCAGAACGCCTCCCAACTCCCAAATTGGACGCGCCACTTCGAGCAGCTTAGGCGCGTCCTGGGGGAGGCTCCAAATGCACGACCCTTCGGCAGTGGGGTCAGATTCCTGCCAAGGACGGACGACGAATTCCGAGCCGTCCAGAGATACCTCATAGAGGCCAGCGAGAAGGACCCAACTATAAGTTGGTACTTCTATAGTCTGGCCTCGGAACTGCCCACCAAGGTGGCGATACGGGCCTCCCCGCCGACACCCCCAATGAGAGGATAGTGGATGCCCTACAGGATAAGGGATTCGGAGTGCGACTGGTGCGGGGTATTCCTGCCCGTCGCGGTCGTCCCGGCTGTATCTTCCACGCTCAACTCGACCCCATGGACAAGGATGAGCTCGCACGCTTATATGCGGTGGACGAGCTCCTGTACATGCGTGGCGTCGTCGTTGAAGCGTGGAAGCCGGCATCTGTGTTGGCTCAGTGCCACAGATGCCAGGCATTCGGCCATGCGTCGGCCAATTGTCACCGGCCCGTCAAATGCGTTCGCTGTGGTGGGGAGCACCCGGCGGCGAACTGCGACAGGCCGCGTGACCAAAAGCCGACCTGTGCCAACTGCGCAAAGCCGCACACCGCCAACGACCGGAAGTGCCCGGTGTACAAAAGAGAGGCCCGGCAGAGGGGAATCAAACCCCGTCCCCCGTCCCCACTGCGACGTCGACGGCGCCCACGGCGCAGCAACGGCGGCGCAACAATCCCACCGCGGCGCCTCGTACATACGTCGCCCAGGCTCCCCCTCCCGTAATAACGGTCGAGGAAACCGCTGGCGCCAACCTAATGGCGCCGGCTAACGAACCGACACAACGAGGCGCCGACGCCGGTGCTACGAAAAAGCGCCGCCGCCGAAGACGCGGCAAGAAGAGGCGCGGAGATGAGCCCGTGACGGCATCAACCCCAATCCCCTTCCTACCTGATCCCACCCCAATATTTGCGTACAACGCACCCCCCACCCGTCCCATGTATGCCGTCCCAAATCAGGGCCCGCGTGCAGCGCCACGTCGCCGCCAGGCGGCGCCACCGGCACACAATGTGCCGAGAGTGGCTTTCAAGCCGCTTCTGGCGGACGTAAGACGCGCACCTCCCGCGCCTCCCACATACCCCGCGCCGCGTTCGGCACACGCCGCGCCCGCGCCCTTCACACAAGCGCCCGTCGACAGAGCACTGAACATGCTTATTAGCCTGTTGACGGAGCTGCTAACTACGCTCGCGGCCGGCGCGGACACAAAGTCGGCGGCATTAAATGGATTGGCCAAAATCCAACAGTACACAAATGGCGGGTACTAGCCTGCGCATTGTGTACTGGACCCCCGGGGGAATAAAGGATAAAGTCCAGGACCTCCGTCTCCTAGCTCGCACCCAGGATGTGCACATCATACTCCTGGGTGAAACGAAGCTCACAGAAAAGGAGACGTTGAGGGTGCCTAACTACCACGTGTATAGACGCGACGAAACGTCACCGGCGGGCATTGCGTACCGCGGTACGGCGGTACTAGTCCGTCGGGACGTAGTCCACGTGGAGTTAGAGCGCCCCGAGTTCCGCGTCATGCGCTCCATAGGAGTCAGCATCAACGTCGACGGCGCGGAACTGAAGGTCCTGGCAGCTTACCGTCCCCCGGGACTGGATTTCAGCCCCTCCGATGTCCGGAACGTTCTGGATGGGAGGAGTCCCACCCTACTTATGGGCGACCTAAACGCGAAGCACACGGCTTGGGGTTCCCGTCTGTGCTCGCCGATAGGTCGAAGACTCCTCCAGGATTCGCAGATCCACGGGTACGAGGTGTTGGGCCCAGCGCACCCAACCCACGTACCCTCAAATCCCACACATAGCCCAGACGTTCTGGACATTGCCCTAGTGCAGGCTGTGCCTTGCCCGGTCTTACTGGAGGTGCTGTACGACCTTGACACGCAGCACCTCCCAGTTCTAGCCACGCTTGACCTCTCCACCACCACCACACCGACGAGACCGTCGAGGCGGCGGATGGATTGGCGTGTTTTTCGCGCAGAATTGGAGCATCTACACCTCGACGGCGAACTATCATCGCCAGCGGGTGTCGAAGCCGCCTCCACACTCATAACGGAGCGAATCCGCACCGCAGTGGAGGCGGCAACTACCACAATAAACGTGGCTTCTCGCCGTCGAGAGGAATTGCCACACCATCTGCGCGAAAAACTCGCCCGGAAAAAGAACCTCCGTCGCCTATGGGCCCGAACCCGCTGCCCGCGGGTCAAGCGTGAGCTCAACTGCCTGGCTGCAGAGCTGTCGGAGGGAGTGCGGGATTGGCGTGGGGCCGCCTGGGAGGGTGTCATATCCCGGGCCGGCGAACACGATACCGACCTGCACAAACTCAATCGACAGCTCACCAATGCACGACCTCCCGTCTGCCCGTTGCTTGACGAGACGGGCAGACGTCGTTACGCAGCCCAAGACCGGGCAGAAATCCTGGCACAGCACTTGGAGGGGCAATTCACGGCCAATCCAATAGCCGCCGACGCACCCAGCACTGTCGTCGAGCACCACGAGCGAGTCGTACGTCGCGTATGCGATTTCCGTACCGCTCCGTCGCCGGACGTAAACGAAGTGAGCTTCGTTTCGCCCGGCGAGGTAAGGCGGCTCGTCAGCCGCCTGCCGAAGCGCAAAGCGCCCGGAGCGGACGGGATCAGCACCGCAGCGCTCGCACAGCTGCCCCGTAGAGCCCTAGCGTGTCTAGCGAGGCTCTACAACGGCATACTCCGGACCGGCCACTTCCCTACCAACTGGAAGTTGGGTAGAGTCATAGTCCTCCCGAAACCCGGCAAGGACAAGCGCCTGCCGGCAAGCTACCGGCCCATCACTCTGCTCTCGCACGTAGCAAAGTCGTTCGAGCGCCTCCTGCTCCGCCGCCTGAGACCGACTCTGTCGCCTCGCGACGAGCAGTTCGGTTTCAGAGGCGGACACTCGACGACTTTGCAGCTGACGCGCGTGCTCCACCATATGGCTGTCGAGCACAACCGCGGCCACTACACGGTCGGCGTATTTCTCGATATAGAGAAGGCGTTCGACCGTGTGTGGCACGACGGTTTGGTGTCGAAGTTGCTCGACACCAACACGCCGTCAGCATACGTGCGAGTAGTGGACTCGTTCCTCTCGGGCCGGAGCTTCTATGTTTCGGTCGAGAACTGTGACTCTACCACACGCCCAATTGCCGCCGGAGTCCCGCAGGGCAGCTGCATTTCGCCAGCGCTCTACGCGACGTACACAGACGACATCCCCACCTTGAGGGATGAGCTCCGAGAGGGAGAGAGGGATGTCGTCCTCGCTCTTTTCGCCGACGACAGTGCCTTTCTTACGTCGTCTCGCCGAGCCTACGCAGCCGCTCGCAAAATGCAGCGGCTGTTGGACCTGCTCCCCGAGTGGCTGGATAAGTGGCGTACCACCGTTAACGTGGGTAAAACGGTGGCGCTGCTTACCCGCCCCGGGTGCAAATGCCCGCCGCCCCTCTTACTGAGAGGCCAGCCCATCCAGTGGGAGCGCACAGTGCGTTACCTAGGGGTGGAAATCGACCGGTCGCTGCGTATGACGCCGCAGGTAGACCGGGCTGTTACCCAAGCCAAGGCTGCGCGCGCTATGCTGCGACCGGTCTTGCAATCCAGGCTGCAGCTGCGGACGAAAGTAGGCATTTATAAGACCTACATTCGTTCGCGGCTCACATATGCCGCCCCCGCATGGTACGCACTGTGCTCGGCCTCACAGCGGCGGAGACTGCAGGTCCAACAGAACGCCGCCCTCCGTCTGTGCACAAATGCCGGACGGTACGTCCGTAATGACGTGATCGCCCGCGACCTCAAGGTCCCATCGGTGGAGCAGTTCGTCGTCCGGTTGACGCGCGCGATGTTCTCGCGCGCGGACAGCGGGCGCGAAGCGCACCTGCGCGACCTCGCCCCTCTCCACGCGCGCCCACCGGACGCCACTCGCGCGCTCCCGCGCGACTTACTCTCCACCGAGTGATCACGTCATTTACGTGACGTGGCGGCGTTAAGCCGGCTCGGCGAGCGACTTATAGAGTCCTCCTACACGACTCCCTCAGCCGGCTGCTGGGAAGCAGCCGGCTTCCGGCCGGCCGGCAGGCCGGCCGGTAAACGAACGACGCTGGGGTGGTATACCCCAGCAGTATGCTCGGGTAAAGAGCGTAAGCTCGGGGCCCGTACCCAGCGGTCCATATAAAGGATCAGCGGACGACCCGATAATAAGAAAGCCGTGTCATCGGCAAACAGAGAGATATTTCGACTTTTAAGTCGGAGAATTTGGGAATGTCGTTGGTGTACAACGAGTAGAGCATCGGAGAGAGGACGGCGCCCTGAGGGACGCCGGCTCGTATGGGGTGCGGGTCGGATAAGCTCGTGCTCGGACCCCCGCCTGTTTATACCTTCCCTCGATCGTTACACAAAAATATTCCTTATAACATGATTCAGTATTCACGCGCGATGGCTTATTACGTATTTCATGTCTAACTTTGGTGTTTCTATACCGATTTATATGATTCTTTTCACTGCTCTGCTCCTATTGATCGTAGCGTGATGAAAAGTATACTATAACCTGCCCAGGAGTATGAAGAACAATTGTACCAAGTTTCGTTGAAATCTGTCGAGTGGTTTTTGTTTCTATAAAGAACATACAGACAGACAGACAGACAGACAGACAAAAATTTTTCTGATTGCATTTTTGGCGTCAGTATCGATCACTAATCACCCGCTGATAGTTATTTTGGAAATATATTTCATGTACAGAATTGACCTCTCTACAGATTTATTATAAGTATATAGATATAGATAGATATAGATTATTAAAATAGTTTTTGCTTATATCAGTAACTATAAATATAGGAGGATTTAACTTTTTAATTTTTCCCGGTTAAAAGCTAACAGGCCAGAGACACCTTACGTTCACCATATTACTAAACAATTTTTGAACAGTTCACCTAATTTGACGTCATGGTACGATTTTAACCAGGACTGTTTAAGGCCTGC